GCGGGGAAAATTTCCAAATATCGATATTTTCGGAGCATCGATGTTTTACTCTTGATGTAAATATAAACAGTAATCAGCTGATTTGTGTTGATTACGATCTCTTATCCAACGAAATAAATATAGAGAATACCTTCAGAATGTTAAGGAGCTTTTGGGTTCAAAAAACGACAAAGAAAATTCTTCTGCTTAAAAGATGGAACACAACGCTAACCAAAACCAATGGAGAATCAAACGTTTATGATTGCATTGTGATAGGCGGTGGCCATGCTGGTACGGAAGCAAGTGCCGCTGCTGCTAGAATGAAGGCGCGCACATTGCTTATCACGCATAAACTCGAAACAATTGGAGAAATGTCGTGCAACCCATCATTTGGAGGGATTGGCAAGGGCCATTTGATGCGAGAAGTTGATGCATTGGATGGATTGTGTGCACGTTGCTGCGACGTCTCTGGTGTACAATACAAAGTGCTGAATCGTAGGCGCGGGCCGGCTGTGTGGGGACCGCGCGCGCAAATCGATCGGCAGTTGTATAAACAAGCCATACAAAGCGAGTTATTCAATATGGATAGTTTAGAAATACGATGCGCAGCAGTGGATGACTTATACCTAGAAACGAATGCGGATGGGAATTCGCAATGCTGTAAAGGTGTGGTATTGAAAAGTGGCGAAATTGTGCCAGGTCGAACGGTGATTTTAACGACGGGAACATTTTTACGAGCCAACATTAATATTGGGCTTGAAGTGCGTCCTGCTGGAAGAATAGGCGATGAACCGGCAATGGCCTTGGGCCAATCGCTAGAGAATCTTGGGTTCCGCATGGGCCGGTTAAAGACAGGCACCCCGCCGCGCATTGCTAAAGATAGCATCGGCTATGAACGCCTCGCGCGGCATTCAGGCGACAATCCTCCGATGCCTTTCTCATTCATGAACGAACGGGTATGGATTGAAGCAGACAATCAATTGCCTTGCTACCTAACGCATACAACATTACGAGTAAATAATATTGTGCGTGAGAATTTGCATGTGAATCGCCATGTGACGGAAGAAGTGACCGGTCCACGCTATTGTCCATCCATTGAGTCAAAAGTTTTGCGTTTTGGAGAAAAAGTACATCAAATCTGGCTTGAACCAGAGGGTTTCGAGAGCAAACTTATCTATCCCCAGGGACTGTCTTGTACCTTGCCATTTGAACAACAAGTAGAGCTAGTACACAGCATTCATGGCTTAGAGGAAGCGGAGGTTATACAACCTGGATATGGCGTAGAGTACGATTTTATAGATCCTCGAGAACTATTTGCCACACTAGAAACGAAACGTGTGGAAAACCTCTTTTTTGCTGGCCAAATTAATGGCACGACCGGCTATGAAGAGGCAGCAGCACAAGGGATAATTGCTGGCGCAAATGCTGCGGGTAAAGCCATAAATTATCGCTCAAATGCATTAGCAAACAAAGATCCAACGCAGCTGACGATAAGTCGCACTGAAGGCTATATTGGTGTACTCATCGACGATCTAACAACATTAGGCACTAACGAACCATATCGCATGTTTACTAGCCGGGCAGAGTTTCGCCTTTCACTGCGACCGGATAATGCCGATGTGCGACTAACAGAGAAAGGCTACAATTTTGGTGTGGTGACCGAAAGTCGATATAAGCGCTTCAAAGCTGCGGAACGGAAACTACAGCAAGCAATCGACCAGTTGAAATCAATGCAACGACATT